TAGCTGCTTCCAAGGTTATTACAGGGACTATATCTGAGACATCTAAAGATCTATCTCAGTCAGCATTTAATGGAAAACCACTCTTGATAATATACTGGTCACTTAACATGCCTATCAGAGGTAGAAGAACATGTAATTTTTAGATAATGGATACATGATTTTTCTACCTCCTATTTGGTCTGGTCCTATCACTGTTTATCATCTTTTTAAAATACATGGAAGGTTTTTTTTTTTAACCTTTTTCAAAAGCCTCAATTCTTGCCTCTAGTTTTATCTTTCTATTTAATATTTTCATGCCTCACATCATTGCCTTTTCAATGGTTATTTACTTATCTCAGTAAGGTGATATGCAAATTCCTTTGAGGTTTTCCAGTTTTTCTTTATGATTCTATTTTGAGTAACTGTCAAGTCTCCAACAAATATTTACTAAATAACCTTTTATATTCCAACTACTATGCCAGGTGCTAGGTTTCTACTGTCTAGTGGGATAAACATACACTAAATAAACTAAGCCGTGATATGGTCATTAAGTATACTCTTTTGCTGTGTTTTCTTTTGCATTTTCAGAATAAGGAGTTATACTCTCTTTTAGATATTTTTAAAAATCAATAAAAAAAAACTTGTCTCTTGAATTAGAAACCAAGGGGGGGATACATGACAAAGTCAAGTTACCATACAACCTAATCTAAGAATAAAAAACAATATTGAACACACCAAAATGTAAAAGGATATAGGAAAACGTTTTCAAAAAGCTGGCTAGCAGATTGGTAGTGTCCTGTATGGAAAAGCTTGTGGGAGTGTCATGATTATTTGATCTGAGTAGTGCAGAACAGTTAATTTGATTACATTTTTAAACTGCACCTTAGAAATAAAAATTGATTGAATTAAGTAGTGAAAGAAGATACTGAGTTAAGATAATGCCTCTCAGTCCTTGGGCCATTAAGACGAGAATAGTCAGTCCTCTCCCGGATGGGTTTCACCAGGTTTCTTGAACATCAATGCTGAGGCCCACAGAGGCAGCAGAGTCCACGTCAGTGACGTGTGTGACACTAGAAGTGACTGGGGACCTGTGAGTGTCTGTTTGTTTTCTTCCACTAGAGAAGCACTTGCCTGGAATTTTATTTAGTGTTTTCTCTGGAAAGAATTCACATTTTGATATTTGGATATAAAACTTGGAAAAGTAGGATGACATTTAGCTTTATATTTCTGTCATAAATCCAATTAGATCAAACTGCTATTTCCCACTAAGCTTTAGTTTTGTGGGGTTTCTATAGTAATGTTTTATTACAATAAATTTTCTAGTGCTATGTTAATTTGAATGATAGTCATTTTACCAAAATGTAACTATGAGATGGATAATTAGCTTTCAATAAGCATTTTATGTTTCATTTCTTTCTTTATACATTTTAGTAATTTTTAGTAAAATGTTTTAGCATTAGAAAAGTAAAAAAATTTCTATATTTCAAAAGTGATCATCATTATAATGAACTTATTTTACCTGTCATTATTTTATTATACCTAAATTAACCTTAAATTGATATCTTGGTTTACTTTAAGATAGGAAATTTTTACTCATTTTGGCTCCTTTCCTAAAAGAATAAACTTGTTAAACGTTAATAGTTTGTTATCCCTCTAGTAGTAATAATTTGTGCTTATCCATTTTTGAAGAATTGCAGAACTGTATATATATTAGGAAAGTCTGAGTTACACAGAAGTTTAAGCCTTATCTAGAATTTTCTTGGTTTTTCCTTAGATGAAATTTTGAACTTGGCTAGAATTTCCACTCTTTCTTCGGTATTATTCTCTGTTCTAGTGTAGTTAGTGTGTTATCTGTTCTTGTCTGTTGAAACTTAAGCTGTGTCCCTTTGCCTCTTTACCAGTTAACAGTCAGATGAATCAGTCTTTGTTGATTTGTTTACCAAGGACTCGTGAGAGCTTACCATGAGCTGGGTATTGAGGCTACAAAGTAGAGAAAATTCATTTAAAACATTTCATCTTATTTTTTGTTTCATAGCAAAGTAATTGCATATATCGATATGCTTTCCTCTAAACATTTAAAGATGAGTATCATTAAGTGGAGTTCAATATTTATTTACATTTTCCTTTTGAGGTAAAATTTATGTGCAACATGATGCATAAATCTATTGTGAACTTTTACTCAGTTTTGAAAAATGCAGAAACTCCCCTGAGGTACAGAATAATATCACTGTCATTCCTTTTATCTTTTCGTACTTATTCCTTATACCTATTCACTTGTGATTATGGATTTATTTGCCTATCTATTAGTCTTGTATATTTTTGCATTTCTGTTTTTAAACTGTTATTAGATCTATTCAGATTTAGAAATCTTATGACTTTTTAATGATTAAGAGATGTCTTTATCTTTAGTAATGCTTACTGCTGTTAAGGTTTCTTGACCTGATATTGGCATAACTGTGCCAGCTTCCTTTAGTTTGGCTTTAGAGCTTTTCCCATAATTTTATAAACAATCTGTCTGTACCCATACTTCTTTTAGCAAGGTGAGTATTTAACAAAATAACTTCTGAGTTTTTTTTTTTAACAAATTTATTTATTTATATATACAAGAACTGGGGTACAATCCAGAGTTATGGGGTGGTGAGAGGATTCACCAGAGACAGAGTGGGGAACAGAACAGGTGGATTGACTGAAATACACTGATGAGAGGGGCGGTGGGAGAGGTCTGCTGCGTCAGGTGGGTCAGCTCCCTGGCTGGTGATCGAACTCTTGCAGTGATTGCCCAAAGCCCCATAGTGCTGAGACTTAACCCCTTGTGCCACCAGGGAGACCCATGAGGTTTTGCAGTTGAATATACTTTAATACTATTTGTTTTATATATATATATTTTTTAAGATTTATTTGTGCATACAGAATTGGGGTACAGGCCTGAGGCTCAGGAGCGGTGAGAGGCTTCACCAGAGACAGCGGGGAACAGAACAGGCAGATCAACGAAGTACACTGCTGAGGGGAGCAGCGGGTGGGTCAGGAGAGGTCTGCCACACCATGTGGTCACCTCCGGGGCAGGCGGGAATCGAACTCATGCAGAAGCGACTTTAGATTCTCAGTGCTGTGCTTTAACCCACTGCGCCACCAGGGAGGGCCTTGTTTTATATTTTATACATGTACTATGCTACTTTTTCTCTCCTCAACCTTTTTAAATTCGAGTCAGATATTTTAGTTATTCTTCTCATCCCAGTTAGCATCTAGTGACTATTGTAGAAATTTTACTAAATGAATTTTGAGTTATTGCAGTCCAATACAGATGATTACTTCTGCTGTTTTTGGGACAGTGCAGATGTCTTAGAAACTTTAATTCCATTAAAAAATTCCCTATCTGGCCCTCCCTGGTGGCGCAGCCGGTTAAAGCACTGCACTGAGAAGTTAAAGCCACTTCCTCATGAGTTCAATTCCCGCCTGCCCCGGAGGAGACCACATGGCGCGGCAGACCTCTCCTGACCCGCCCGCTGCTCCCCTCAGCAGTGTACTTCGTCAATCTGCCTGTTCTGCTCTCCACTCTGTCTCTGGTGAAGCCTCTCACCACCCCTGAGCCTCTGGCCTGTACCCCAGTTCTCTGTGTACAAATAAATCTTTAAAAACAAAATTCCCTATCTACCTCACATTTTTGGTATTGTTGTAATGCACTTTAAATCTACATATAATTTAAATTTAAAAAGCTGGCAATATTACTATATTGACAATTGTAGTTCGTTAGGATTTGCCAATGTATTTAGCCTTTTGCACTTCTGTGTTTTTTCGCTTCTGTTGGGAGACCTCCGTTTTTTTCCTCTGGATTTTTACTGATTCTTTGTTTTTGTTTTTAGAAATTATCTTTACTTTCATTTTCAAACGCTTCAAATGTTTCAAACGTTTAACTGTGTTAATGTTTAACTGTCCTGATTAAAAATTTTTAAATCATTCCATTTTCTTCTGCCTTTAATTATTTCTGTTGCAGTTTATTTCTCAGCCTACTGATTGTTGCTCCTTTAAATATGTTTATTTTTTCCTGCAGGTTTAAAGACATGCTTTATGTTGCTCATTAATGATAGAAATCACTGGCTATTTTCACTTCCTTTTTTGCTTCTTATTTTCTTTAATGGGGTTTCAGTGATCTATATGTTACAGTGCCTCAGTGGATTCTATATGCCTTTTAGATGCTTTTTTGTATTTTTCAACCTCTATCTCTTTGTACTTTTGTTTGGATATTTTCTTTTGGCCACTGTTACAATTCTCATTTGCTCTGTTCCGTGTGCTGGAGCAACATGTACTGACTGACAACGTTTTAGGGAAATTTTGTTCTGAAGAGCAATGATTTTGGAGCAGTAGCTGAACCATGTGGGAATAAAGGCGGGTTTGTCTCTTTTTGGTTGGGACGTACTATAGTATGATTATGTTGTGATTGGCAAATTGAATAGGGAGAAAAAAAGAGAAAGTTATGTGAGAGAAGAGGAAGGTGATCTGGGGATAAAAGACCTGGAGAAGGTGACTGAGGTAACCTAAAGCACACTAGGAGTAGTTTTCTTTAATAGGAGAGGGAGACAGAGAGCTGTAATCTTGAGAGGTGGGATTCTGGCTTGTTGAGGGAAAATATACAGTCGCTGTTGGTTTCTAGAGTCCTAAACTTTGGGTGTGTGTGTGTGTGTACTTTGTGTGTGTGTACTTTGTGTGTGTGTGTGTGTGTGTGTGTGTGTTTGTTTGTAGATCATGTAGGAAAGTATTCCAGGAAATGGAGACCTAAATGGAAGAAGAGATTATATTTATGACTAGCTGGTTCTCTCTTCTGCTTTTCGAGTACTCTATCATAATATACTTCTAAGGAAATATTTTACTTTAATTTAATGAACAAGTTTTTTTGTCATATAGTTAACATTTCTCTACTATTTATTTAAGCATTCTTGATTCCTTATAGTACATTAAAAATTTTAATAGTTTTTTGAGTAGAAAAATCTAGCTTTCTAATATCTTTTCCTCATTTTCTTTTACAGTTTTGTCAGCACTAGAATAGCACAACCATGTTTCGGAATAGTCTCAAGATGCTTCTTACTGGAGGGAAGTCAAGTCGGAAAAACCGATCAAGTGGTAAGTGATAGTGCTAAATTTATTTTGTGTGATAATTTAAAAGTAGAAGTTCTGTTAGGGTTCTGAGCAATTTTCATATTTATTTATTACAAATGGTTTACTTAAAAAAAAGGTTTACTTAATTTAGAAAAAGGTTTACTTCCTATAAACTTTTTTTTTAAAGGAATAGAGAACATTGAACGTTTATCAGAAACAAAATTTGTCAGTAAAAAATACTTATTTCTAATATGTGAGAGAGTAACGTTTCTGTGTACTACTTTCTAGACCTAAATTTACTTTTTGAATTAACATGTAAAATTATTTCATCCTAGGCTATCTTTGGGGGATGAGACTGGAAAATATTAAAATTTCCAAAAGTTTATACAGAAAGTGAAATATTAATTGAAGATTTTTATAATCATTGAGGTTTATAGGTTTTTTTTTTTTTTAGAATAAGGGAATAACTCTTAGGGTTTTTTTTTGGAGATAAATATTGATGAAAATGTAGTAAATATTTGCTTTCTGTTGGTGGGTTATAGGTATTTATTATATCCTGTGATTTTTCAATTCCCTAATAGTTCTGCACTCAAGCTCACATTGGCGAAGTATTCTTTGTTACTCACACTCCCATTGTGAGTCCTTTTTGACCAATACAGTATTGTTAATTTTCTGGTTATCTTATTATTAACTGAGTAATTTTAACTTGTTATTCTCTTCTATAGAGAACATACCCTGTATTTTATTTTTTTTGATACATGCCTTATAGCTCAACATACTGGCTTTGCAAATGTTCTAGATGTATCTGAAAATAATGTGGGTTCTGCAACTATTGGGTGCAGTGTAGGTCAGTTTCATTAAGGGTGTTCTTCAAATATTTTATCTCCTTTATCTCTTTAAATATCCTCACATAGTTAAAATTATTTCTTCAGAAAGATGTAATTAAAGCTCACGTTGTGACTGTAGAATTGTCTATTTCCCTTTCTAATTCCTGACAATTTTTGCTTTATTTGGAAACTGTCTTATTAAATAAGTTGAAATACAGATTTTCCCCCATCTTTTATGTGACTTATCTGTTTTGCAATAGTGAAATTGTCCCTTTATGTTTATAATGTCTTTTGTGTGAAAGTTGAGCTTGTCTAAAGTTAATGTAACTCTCCCTGTTTTCTTTTGATTAGTCTTTGCATTCTTTTATTTAACCATTTCTATGTGGCTAATACCAGTAATAGCATCTTGGTGCATTTAAAATTTTTTTTTTCATTTACTCAGATTTTTTTCCTCTTACTGGACTTTGATTCATCTATGTCGATTCAATCAGTGATATTTTTGAGTTTAAAATGAACTCTACCTATATAATTGCTCAATTCTTCTTTCTTGCTGTCTTGGTTTGGTCAGAACACTTTTGTCATTCCAAATCTCCCCCTTTCAGTGGTAACCTAAAAATGAAAATAGTCATCAATCAAATTTTATTAATGGATACTTTTGTCCTCTCTGGTACAAAGCATACGCCTTAGCTTTTCCCCATCACCTTGTTAATTAAACTGCACAGCTACTGCTATTTAGATTTACTCACACACACTTGACTTTTCATTCCTTCCTAAACTCCATACTTCATTAGGGTCACATTTTTCTTTGTCTGATAAACATCCTTTATAAATTCCTTTAGTTAAGATCTTCTTGTAGTAAAAATGCCTACCTTTTGTTTATCTGAAAATGTCTTTATTTTGTCTTTATTTTAGTAGGAATTTTTTGCTGGAAGTAGAATGCTAGGTTGCCAGTTACTTTCTTTTAGCACTTTCAAATATTGTTCACTGTCTTTTAGCTTCTTGCCATTATTTCTGGTGAGAAGGCAGTTACCAGTCTAGTTAGTACATCTTTAAAGGTGATCTTTCTTCTTTTCTCTTTGTTTTTCGTTTTCTAGATTTACATGGCTCTGCTTAGAAGTGGTTCTCTTTGTATCTTTATTTATCTTCTATTAAAGTCGGGGGGGTGGTTCTTTCTTGATTTTTTGGCTTGTCTCTCATCCGTTTTGGAAAACTATTACCCATTATCACTGCAAATTTTATTTTTTCTGTCATTTTTTCTCTCTCCTTTCTAGGGCTCCAGTTACACATTTGATAAGCCACATGCCTATCAGCTATGGCTCTTACATTCTCTGTCATTTTATCCCTGTATGCTTCATGCTGGGTATTGTAATTTTATTTCTCTTTTTCACTAATTCACTCCTTAGTGGCATGCACTATGTTCTAAGCCACATTCATTTCTTAATTTTGGTGTTCTTCAGTTCTGGAGCTTTGTTAAGCTTACTGAAAGATTTTAACAATAGTCCAAAGAATGCTACTTACCCTTCCACAGATTAATTAACTCTCATTGCATTTGCTTTATCATTCTCTCTGTATACATCTACTCTATCTCCCTCACTCCCTGTTCTGCTCTCATTTTTTATAACCACCTGAGAGTAATTTACACGCATCATGTGCCTCTTTAATCCTAATATTTTCAGTGTGTATTTTTATTTAAATGTGTGTATGTGTGTGTTTGTATAGTTGAGGTAATGGTGCATATGGTTCCAAGGTATAGGATCACTCACAGCTTTTCACATGTTATGTTACCATACCATACTTCCCACCAAGGCACCCAGAGTCCATCACACCCTGTTCTCCACTCTCCCCCTTTCCTCTGGTAGTCTCTACTAGGATTACCCCTCTAAAGTTTGTTACTGATCCTTTGGTTTGTTACTCTATATTCCACATATAAAGAAGCCACCTGGTGTTTGTCTTTTTCCTTCTGACTTATTTTGTTTAGTGCACTGGCCTCCTCTTCCACCTATGTTATAGAAGATGGCAAGAGCTCTTTCTTTTTCAATAGTTGAGTGGTATGTATATGCTATGCTGTATATACACCACAGCTTTCTAATCTTCTTATCTGTCCTTGGATACTTAGGTTGTTTCCGTAACTTGACTGTTGTAAATAGTACTGCATTGAACATAAGCGTTCATATATATCTTCAAATTAGTGTCTTGTACTCTTTGGGTAAATAACTAGAAGTAGAATTATGGGCAGGAGATTCTTTTTACATGACCATAGTACAGTTATCAACTGTATGCAATTTAGCATTGGTAAAATCCCTTTAAACAATCTACCACTAATTTTCCAAGTTTTGTCAATTTACCCAGTAATTTTCTTCCCTTTCTTTTCAAGATCCAGATCAGAAGAAAGTTATCATTATTTGTCATTTCTTTTAATCTCTTTTAATTTGAAACAGTTTCTGAGCCTTGAGTTTTTTTTTTTTTAAAGATTTATTTATTTATGCATACAGAACTGGGGTACAGGCCAGAGGCTCGGGGCGGTGAGAGGCTTCACCAGAGACAGAGTGGGGAGCAGAACAGGCAGATCGACGAAGTACACTGCTGAGGAGAGCAGCGGGCGGGTCAGGGGAGGTCTGCCACACCATGTGGTCACCTCCAGGGCAGGCGGGAATCGAACTCATGCGGAAGTGGCTTTAGCTTCTCAGTGCAGTGCTTTAACCTGCTGCGCCACCAGGGAGGGCCCATGAGCCTTGAGTTTTAAGGAGGTTTTTTTTTTTTTAAATAAAACTAAATTACTCCTAATTTTGGATTTGTTTGACTTCTTTTATGATTAGATTCATGTTGTCTTTTTGACTGTTACATAAATGTATACTTTTTTTTGAAGTATCATAGCTAGAGGCAGATAATATCCATCTGTCACTCATTAGTGGTTTTGATGACCAATTCAAGGAGTTGTCTGACTTTCTGCTCTCTGGATGCCAGTTTAATCCACTTCAATTTAAATATAATCTAAAAGTAACACTGTTTAGTTCTTTATACTATTTCTAGTTCTTTGTCAATGTTTTCAATCTTGAATCTTATTTCCATGAGCACAGTTAAGTCTACATTTAGAGCAATATTTATCGATCTTAAAAGGCTGTTTGATAATTCTAAATGTGCCTGTTTCTTTGTTTTCTGTTTACCTTACTTTTCTTCTGTACCAGTGTTTCTTTTTAATAAGCTTTCCATATTGGCTTCATTTATATGAGTAGCTGGTATGGAGAATTACTTAATGTTTCACCCAGCTTTCCCCATTACATCTTATTTTACCACCATGCATTTGTCAACCTGAAGAAACCAATATTGGTACATTAATATTAACTAAACCTCAGGTTTTTATTGACTTTCATAATTTTTCTTTAATCTCCTCATTCTGTTTCAGCTTTCAATCTAGGGAACTACCTTATTCTCAGTTATTGAGCCTCCCCAAGCACTGATTGATTTTGGCAGAAAACATCTTAGGTCAATTCTAAGTAACTGTCATGATTATATCTGCAAAGCGCAGGCAAGGAAGTTCTTGTATGAATATCAGATTTCCTCTGCTCTCTTTTCTCTTGAAAATAGCAATTCCTAATCATTATTTACCAAGTATTAACCAGTATTCGTTTTTCTAGTGGATTCATGCCATCTGTTTGACATGGGTGGCTTTTATTAACCAGGACTTTACTTGTAGGTAAGAAAAAATTCATCAGTCTGTAAGTAGGTGGAAGCTTCTCTTTTTTGCTGTGTTGCTATACATAATAACCCCCAAGGAAGAAAAAAATATATAATGTTAATAAAGGAAAAGTAAATTTCTTTTCCATGTTTTCCCTTTTGGGTAAGGCAGGGTTTAGCTTCCCCACTCTCCTAAATGGTTTAAATATAGAGAAGAATGAGAGGAGTATGGTGAAAGAAATCAACCCCTTCTGTAGCTGCTTTAGTAGCGATCATATTATTAAATCCATACATGTCAAGGTTCTACTGGAGTATGAAAGCTAACTCCTTAGATTTTCTAGGTATTTAATTATGCCAACAATAATCTTTCAGGGTCTCATTTAGTACTTATTCCTCTCAGTGGTTTTTCATGTAAAATGTTTATGATTTAGCGTGGTTATAAGTTATGGTTATAAAAACAGTGATTTTATTTTGTATGGAGAGAACCCTGTTCTAGAGGAGCAGATGCTGGGTTTTTTGTTT